TTGAATTCTAAAAAAAATAATAATAATAAAAAATTTTAACGAGTTGGAGCGCCCATTACCCGAACCCGTCCCGGGGCAAAATTTCCTAACCCGTCCCCGCCCCGTATACCCGATTAAGCGGGTTATCCCCGCCCCGTTCAGGGCGGGGCCCTGCGAATATCAGGTTTGTCGAGTTTTTTTTTTTGCCATTCATAAGTCTATTCTAATTGACCCTCCTACTCAAGATCTTAAAATCTTTTTAAAAGTTTGATAAAAACCTCGCATTATCAATTTGACACATTGAAACTGAAATACCATGAAATTTCACGATTTCCTTGACATAAATATGAGCTAATTGATCCAAAAGAAAGTCTCCATCGTTAAGAAGTTATCTAACTTGATAAGTCTATGATTATAACCCAAATAATGTCATTTCTTTTAACTGTATGCAACAATTTTTTTTAAAAAAATTTTGAACCAACTTAGGACTTGAGATGTCGATGGTTAAACCTTTTTTCAATCTGTCATATTCGCTTGGATACATTATTTCTTATGTTAAATTCTAACCATTCTCATATTTTATCCTTCTACATTGTTTATAAATCTTGGTGAGATATTTTCTCCCAAATCTTTTCAATAGTTCGTAGTGTATCTTCTAGTATACATGAATGTAACGAATGTCACTCGCTACTTTATCAGAGTATAATCATGGTGGACGTTTTCTTCATGTGAGTTTTCGTATGAAGGCATCTATCAAGACCCGTTACTTATCTTTTTCGAAAACTTGACCTCGTAGACGCGAAGACTCTAAAATGCAGGCTCAAAGCATATCTTCCAATATCTAGATCATTCATTCTCGTTGCATATCGATCATACATCAATAGATGATATATCTTAATGAAATTGAAGGTTTTTATTCGATGTTGTCAGCACTTGGGCTCCACGTCATCGTGTGGGGGGTTTTTTTGTACCTTCAAACTCGCAGATCATTTCATTCTTAAAAGTTATTCATATTTATCAATCGATTTTACTATTATTTATACCATATCGTTGTCAATATTCTTGTCATGTAGAAATCGATATCTCGAATTAATATAGTTATTTAATTCATTTTTTATTCATTTTCTTTATTATTGTCTTGCAAAATATGTATCTACTGGACCTCTATTATTCAAACAATTACCCGTCAATGTCAACATCATCTCAACGTATCACCCAAAAAATTAATCATTTATATCCCATAGAACTATTCTCACATTTTATACGATGGTACACTTCATATCTTTTGATGCTCTCATAATTGATTCAATGTCTCAAAAGATTACAAAATACTTTATTTATTAGATACCTAAAACTAT